GGGCTGCGGCCCTGGGCCTCGCCCCGTCCCGCAGCACTGGACACGGGCTTTTTCTGTGTTTAAAACACTGACGTTACCTGTAAATTATGAATATATAAGTGCTTAAGCCCGTTAAAAAAACCTTGAAAGTTCTAAAGCTTGTGACAAATGCAGTGAAAGCAGGTTTAAAAGCGCGGGCTGTTACCTGCCAGGCCCTGCGAGGGGGGAGCTGTGCCTCAGAAACTCGGGCACTGCCTGAAAAACTAGGAAGGGAGGCCTGCAAGAACACAAGCTTATTTTAACCTGTACGTATGTAGAGCAACGCATTTTAACTAAGTGATCAAGAAATGTAATAGTACATGACTCCTTCCCCAGCCCCTGCTGCTGGGTATACCCAGGGCAAGGGCCTTGAAGAACAGTGTTGAGAAAAGAAAGGAGTAAAATGTGCATTAAGCGATGACATGGCCAAAAATAAGGACACCCTTTACCTCCCATAATTACAGGCTAAACCTAACTGTTTAATGGCTATAGGTGTTTTATTACCATTGATCTGACAGAAACCCAGGAAACAATTGAAACTCAACTTTGTTAATACCCTGGTATATATTTCAGTGCTCCTTTCTAGGATTTATTAAAATTTCACTTATTTCAGGCAGAGACACTACCATGCTCCCATTTATCTCTCCTGAATCTTTCACAAAGTCAGTGACAAGCATTCTTGCTCTTTCAGGCGACTGAATGCAGAATTAGAAGCAAAAACAGAAAAACTGATGCGTCAGGCTGAAGAAGTAATGGTGAGTAGGTTATGCAGGCACATAACATAGCCTTGGTTCACATGCACACAGAGTCAAGTTTCAAAAGAAATTATTTAGACCATGACAACTACGAGTATTTTGGTGTCAAATGCAATCTAAGCTTTATATATTTTTTTTTTATTTTTTTTTTTTTTAAAAATGGTAAACTTCTACTAAGAAAACATCCAAAAGAAGTTACAATTTCATCTGGTAGGTAGATGTTCATAGAGATGCATAGAGTATGTGTACAGCTCTATATAAAACCACATAAACTTCTTTATGATGTTTAAGGAAAATACCTGAAGGCAGTTTTATGTCTGAAATAAAAACAAATAGTATTTTAAAACCAGGTACTGTTGCAGTAACATCCCAGTGAAATAGGATCTACATTGTTCAAGCTGGAAGAAATACAGAGAATAAGCAACATAAATAGAAAATATGCAGTTAGTAAGAAAACTGCTTAGAAGAATTTCCTGTTTATTGTCAGTTTTATCTTTTAACATTGCTGTGGCTATGCACCAAATAAAAGTTTTATATGAAAATTGGAGAAATTAAAGAAAGGGAATGGGGGAGGTATCATTTGTACCCAAAACAGTTTGGAGAAGTTGTTCTGCATGTTAGATGCATTCATTATAAGTGGACCCAGTGAAATAAGTAAGACTTTAAAAGCAAATTATTCAGTCTTCTGGAAAGCTATACTTATATGCACTTTCCCTACTGTTTCCCTTCATTTTTATGTCCTGTGGAAACATTCTTCTCCTGAGCTGTGGTAAGCTGAGGCTAACTGCTTGGCATTTGAACAGAAGCAGATGAAGCATCCAAAATAGCATCTAGTCCCTTTCCTTAAAAAACAGCAACAACAAAACCAATCTTTTTTTTTTCCTTCTCTAAATACAGCAGACGATCAAATACTCTTAGGACACTTAATATATACCACATGGCACTGCCAGATTGCACAGATATACAATTAACAACAAAAGAAAATCAGTCTTAAGTTTTAAAAAAACCACCAAAACTACACCAAAAATCAAAAACACCATAACAAAAAAACAAATGCCAAAGAGGACAACTGCATTTATTCTGGATTATGCTTTCTAACTGTAACTTAGCAACATAGAAGCTATCTGAACATTCAGACTAAATTGTTCTCTAAAGTACATATATCAGTGTCCAATTATGGTCATATGGCATGAATAAAGATTTATTTTTAAGGATTATTGTGCAATATGGAAAACCTGAAAATTTCTTCCACCTGCTGTGCATTTGCTACTCCTGTATTTCAGAGAAAAAGGAGGAAGGGTTACAGCATCTCAGATGATGTGAAGCTGGGCAAAAGTTTTACAGGCAAGGGGCAATTACATATTGTGGAACAGAAATAAATGCTCAGGGATAGCAATGGCCTTTTAATTTTTAGCCACCTTTCCTGTGTTTGAGAAGTTCTTCCCATAATAGACTATAGTTGTTGTGATCTGTGATTTACAAATACTTATTTGATGGATTATAGTCCCCCCAAACTGACTGCTGCATTTTTTTTTCATTATTATTATTTTTTTAAATAAAGAAAGGCCAGCAGGAGATACTATCTAGACCAGTTTCAGCACAGACTAAGGCATATGAAGATGACAGACAGAGGTATGTGCTTTACAACTGCTGGATATAATTTGCAGGGAATCTTTCTCATTGATCCTTTGCACCCTGACTTGTGTCTTAGTCATGCTCCTCTTTTACCTTTGCAGCACACTAGATTGGTGGAGTCTAAATTTTTTCCTATTGTTTGAAACAATCAATACTCAGTAAGTGTAGTTCCTTGTTTTTTCAAGGAAGGCTTAATTTTGCTGAAATGTCATATCTGGGATACTAACTATATTTCTGGCATCTGTAAAAAAGCAAGTTAAGTAACATGTTTCTTTACTGTGCAAACCAGTAGACACTCAGCTCTAGATGTTTTTTAACCACTTCAGCTGGCAAAGCACAGAAATAGATACTGTTTCGCATTTAACTTGGCCTAAACGTTCCTGGGACAGGAAGTGCTTGATAATAGAACAAACACAACCCCCCAGGACAGACAAACATTGAGCTGCCACCCTCTGGAACCCGGCTATCATTACACATCCGAGGCCGGCATAGCTTTGGCCTGTGTGACCACAAGGACAGCTCTGGGGTTGGGGCAGTGTGTTCAGACCTGTTAGCTCTATAGAATGGATGCACAGCCCTATTGGCTTAGTTGTTCAGAGGCATTATTACTTACTTAATTGTTCAAGGGTCTATATATTGACAGTGCAGGAAGTAGGTGAATTTAAGATAGACTAATACACAGATTATCAAGGATCTGATCTGGCGGGTTCCTAAATTTATGTATTCACTGATCTGGATAAGAAAGATACAGGGCCAGACTACAAGGTCCTTCAAATGTTAAGCTGCAGCTGGGAGAGAGCTGAAATACTGCATACAGCTCTGCAGCCCTCAGGAAAGCCCACAGGAAAGACATTGAGATGTTGGAGAAGGTCCAGAGAAGGGCCACAAAGATGATCAAAGAGCTGGAGCACCTCTGCTATGAAGACAGGCTGAGGGAGTTAGGTCTATTCAGTCTGGAGAAATGAAGGCTCTGGGGAGACCTTATAGCACCTTCCAGTACTTGAAGGGGCTACAGGAAAGCTGAAGAGGGGCTTTTAACCAGAGAGAGCAGTCATAGGACAAGGGGTAATGTTTTTAAACTGAAAGAGGGGAGATTTAGGTTAGATACTAGGAAGAAATTCTTCACTATAAGGGTAGTGAGGAACTGGAATGGGTTGCCTAGGGAGGTTGGTTGTTGGTGCCTGTCCCTGGAGGTGTTCAAGGCCAGGCTGAATGAGGCTTGTGCAGCCTGGTCTAGTGTGAAGTGTCCCTGCTCATGGCAGGGAGGTTGGAACCTGATAATCTTTAAGGTCCCTTCCAACCTTAACCATTCTATGATCAAATAGTTACTTTTGTGCAGACTAAACGCAAAAACAAAAAGTGAGGAGTTTTATGAATGTAAAAGGGTTTTTGAGTACACAAAAAGGTGTGGCAGGAAGTGTGTGACAGAAAAAGTTTGCTACTATAGCTACAATTGTTCCTGAGCTATTTTAAAGCCATATCTGTCAGTTGTACAGGGAAAAAAAAACAACAAAACAAAAACCTCCACATGTTATCAGTGTAATCCTGCTTTGCAGAAAATTCTGGATCTGGCTTTAGTTTTAGGTTCTGTTAGATGCATTTTGGGCAGTAGACAGATGTCTAAGAAACTTCACACTGGAGTTGAGCTATAAGGCTGTTTTATGGAGTAACATGATTGGGAGGATTCAGCCCAACAAAAGCTTTGGTGGTATGCATTTAAAATAACTGGGAATGCTGGCAGAATTTTAAAAAATGTTGGCAATTAACATCTCAGAGTAGCAGCTGATCTACCAACTACCTACATAAATTAAAACACCTGCAACAACCATAGTCTGTTCTGGTAAACATTTACGTGAGAGAAGAATTGAAATCCCATGCTGTAGTGAAATAAAATAGAAATGTGTACTAGGAATTAGACACACTGATTATCCATGAGTGAACATTGAGGCCATTCAATTAGATTAGTTCCAAGTATTTAATATTTAATTTTTTTTCTTTCAAAATTGTGAAAGCAGAGAGGCCGTAAATCTAAAGGAAGCACTTCAGATTTTTTTTAAATACACACTTGAAATTGACACTGATTCCTTTAAGGAGAATGAATACTAAAGCAACTGGAAAGAAGGGAAGAAACCTAAGCAAGGGAGTAGGAAGTATCAGGGGAAAAAGATACGTTAAGACAAAAAAAAAAGAGTAAGCAAATAAAAAAGAAATTAAAAAAGACAACAAATATTTAAGTCTCTCTCCACGTCAGTTTATATTTTTAAATAAATATTCTTGGAGCTTTTATAGCACAATTTTTGTAGAGAAGCTTGAATTCCGTAAAGACAAAGCAGCTCCAGTGGCACCGCATTGAAATCAGCTTTTGTTTACACTTTCACTCTTCAGAGCCTTGCCAGGCTCATGGCGATGGGAGCTGTTCGCGCATGGGCAGCCTTGCTATAGGCTTTGAATAGGATTAGCAAACACAAAGGGGTTTCTCATGCACATGCATCTCGTGTTTACATGCAGAGATGGGATTGGTAAACCTTAGCTGCTGCTTCAGTGTTGCCACCATGCTCTAGCTACTTATTGTATACTTTTTCAGGATTTACAAATCGATTTCACTGTATTATTTGGCTTTAAAAATGTGTTGTTATGTATGGGGAAGAGAAAAGAAAACATTAAGGCTAAACAAGTTTGAGGAATTTAGTGAAAAGTGAGGGTTCATTTTTTTTTGCTTTGTTCTTTTGTTGCTTTAAAAAAAAAAAAAAAGGAGGCCCTGAGACAACAAATACAGTAGGAAACAAACTAGTTCGTTAATGGAAAAAAAAAAAACCAACACAACAGATTGTTTTCTTGAGTATAGAAAATGTTGTATTTTCATGTATTTCAGAATAACACAACAGCTATTTGTGTGGCAGCAAATCCTCACCTTCTGCATGCTTCCAAAGCTAGCCAATAGGAAGGAAGCATGAGGAAAATAGGGTAAATAGACAAAAACTAATCATCCTATTCTTGAAGTCTGTTGCCAGCCACACACAGACGATTTCTCCAGTTTGGGCTGGGTTGGGTTTTTTTTGGATTAATAAAATCTGGAGCTTTGTGCAGATAATTCTTGTTGATGAATGGTTGTCTGTGAAGTATTTAAAGGCAACATGTAAACATTTGCTCAAATCAGCTGGGCAAAAAATTGAAGAGACTTGATGTCTGAAATTTAAGTTGTATTCCAAATCTTTTACAAGCCAGCATTTTAACTGAAGAAAAAAAATATATAAAGGGTGGGGGGAAAGTAGCCTTTCAGTGCAATAACATTCACATAAATAATTCTGAAATAAAAAATTACATATATAACAAGAATAATACACACCATGCTAAAACTTTCTGCTTGTTTCCAGCAGATTTTAAAAATAATCATTTAACTTGAAGTTCAGTTACTAAGAAGCATGGTTTTCAGCCAAATAAGCAGTTAAGAAAGCTTTTTTTTTTTTTCCCATCTGTAAAACGGATACAATATTTGTGATATGTATTTCAGAGAAAATTCTGTGAGGCTTAATTTATAAATTGCTTCCAGCTCATATTCGCTTGATAGTCCCTATCAATTGACTTGACAACAGTCAATCTGAGCATCCAATCACGTTCCCTCTTAGGATGTAGAGGACACTGGCTTTTATCTCCATTTTCTTTGTATTAGCTGAGGGATTTGTATGTCAGGTAGGCGTATTAAGCACTGAGCTGTTGGTGATCTTTGGTAATGGATTGTCAGCCTGTCTTGTTGGAGCTGATAACACTCTGCATACTGGCTAAGTACTCCCTCACTTCCCTGCAGGGAATCACTGATCCAATAAGCCAACAGTTGCAGCCATTGCCTGAATTGCAAGAGATGAGATTCTGAATGTGGTACATAAGTAAACTATTGTATTAGATACCCTGGACTCACCAGAAAATGGGGTCGAATGCAAAGACAGAGCATGAAACTGAATTAATGATTGAACTTAGTCTGTCATCCCACCTTAGCTGTATTGTTTATTCTAGACATATAAAATGTTTTTCTCCTGAATCTGATGAGGGAATTGAATTTTTTATTGTAAAATATTTATTTTTTAATACATTCTCAGTGAATTAATTTTATTTTATTTTGCTGCAGAGATCCACTCTGTCCTGGAGTTTCATCTCTTACACACTTACATGACAAGGTATCAGAGACAAAACTATTTTCGTTAATTTCTCTTCTAATATAATTTCCACATATTACTTCTGGTTTTGAGGCTGTGCTACACTTAATGTTCCCACTTAATGGATGGGAAGCCAAAAGGAAATTATACTCAAAGCAGTGCCACAGGGACAGTGGGTTTCTCAGTGCCACAGGTGGTTAAGTGGACTTACATCATGTTTAGTTTTTGTGTCCTAAGTTTTCTTGACTGTGAAGCATTGACAGAATTGTTCAGAGTTTTGAACATCAAACTAAGTTGCCCAAGTGAAAAATGTTAGAACATAAGTAATTTCTTCCTTTCTTCCCTTCCCTCCCCCACCAGTATAATACTAAGGGCAGTACTGCTGTCTTCTAGATGTAATAATAAACAAGTAGTCAAAATAACCAAATACAGGAAGGGAAACATAATGGGAAAAGGAGAGTGAGATTAGGAACCAACTTAATAGTCTCTAATTACAATTACACTGAATTTTTTAAGAGGTGAGCTAAAGCTTCCAAAATACTGTCTTCAGTTTTTTATCAGAATACAGTGTAAAAAAAAAAAAAACAACAAAAAAAACCAAAAAAAAAAGCAGCCTAATTTTTGAAGAGTATTTGAGTGAAAGCAAAAAAAAATACTGTTAGATTTTATAAGAAATTTTTTAAAGGAAATTTATTATTTAAAGGGAATTTATGAAATTAAAACAATGCATAAAAATAGCATGTATTTGAAGGTATGATAAAAGTTTGTCAAAGAAATACACTCTGTTGTCAGTCTAATAGTTAATATCTTGATAATAGCTGAGCACCATGTTTCATGCAAAAACTCCCACAAACAAATGACTACAGGATGTATTATAACTTGGGCATATGGACACAAAAGTTGCAAGATAAAGACAAATACAGATAAAAGGGGAAAATTATGCTTCTGAAAGTTTGAAAAGCAAACTTTGAAAAGTATCCTTGAGTCTGAGTATATGAAAGAAAAAAAACAAAACACAAAAACTACTAGAAAAATGTAATTCCTAACTAATTAAAAAAAAATAAAATAAAAAATCACTACTTCCCAAAAAAAATTGCAGCTGGCAAACAAGAAGAAATGTGCTTCCGTGCCCATGGCTCAGAACAGACCATCCTCTGGAAGCAAGGGGAAAAGACCAACTTCAAGGTATATTATACACATTTATTTTTTTTTGTAATAAAGCATTTTTAGTTGCTATTTTTGTCTATCAAGTTATTTTTCTTCATGTGTGCATGTGTATATATATTTGTATAAATAAATGTATCAAGCTTTTGGCCCTCCTCAGTGAGCCCCACCATGCAGCTGTCTCTGTTTACTTGCATCAACCACCAAAAAGTACTAGTGAAGGTGTGTGATTAATATTGCAATGAAACTCTTGCTTTTTGCTTAAGCACTTCTCAAGGCTGGCAGTGAAAGTCTGTTAACTCCTTCAATGGAAGGATGCCTAATGAGCCTATGTGTGGGAAATACATCCTCTGAGGCACCCTGAGAGAGTACACCTAGGTGGTGCAGACTGATTTGGGATCAGACTTGTGATAGAAAACATGAGGCCCTCAAGGGTCTCCCCTGTTTTGGTGGATCTTGGGCTCACATGACAAGAAGGAGTCAATAGTAACACCACAGCTTTCAGGGGTTTCAAGCTGAAAATCTGAAGCTCTGTAGATGGCAAATTCAATAATGTAAAAGGAGATCTGGGCAAAAGAGGAGACTAGAGAAATGCATAAAATTTTGGGGGCAAATTAAAACTGCCACAAGATAGGGACAAATACAGGATGAAAATTGTCTACAAGGTGGAAGAACATGGATCTGAATAAGCTGAAGCTCTCTTTGAGGATTTGGGAGTCACTTGGGAACCCTTTGTAGCTCCCTTGGCCAGTTAGGGGAGGCTGTCATGCTGACACCACATTGTAAGATTTAGAAGTGCAGATGCAGGATGTGCAGGGTGAAGCCAAAGTAGTGGGAGAAATTAGCACCTAGGGGGAGTTTGGAGGCTGCATTGGGATGAGGATATATTGTAATAAGAATTTAGGAGCTTCAGATCCTGTGAGAGCTAACATCTCTTTACAAACAAAAGCTGAGGAGATAACCTGTGTAGCAGATGTTTCACATAGCTTGTGTTTTATGAACGCTTTGGTATGGAACTTCCAGAATCCATGAAGTTTCCTAGACTAGGCATAATGATACAGAAATTGTGATATTAAGGAAGGAGTAGAGCTAGAGAGGACAGAGTTCTAGAAAAGTTAACATGAATCATAGAATCATAGAATCCTAGGTGTTGGAAGGGACCTCGAAAGATCATGAAGGGGAGAAACCAGCAGAATTTTAGAGGACAGCAGCTAAAGGCAAGAGAACATTCATCTGTTTCTTTTACATTAAAAGTATCTTAAAGAAAATGAGAAATTGCCATCAATGCATCTTTCATATGAATACAAACAATGATGTTTTATGAGGTAAATAACTCTGTATACTCTTAAAAATAGCAAATAACCTGTATTTTTGTAATTTATTTTTTGTATTATAAATTTAAAATCTAGCATTTGTTTTTTTTTAGTTCAAAAGTAAGAAACCAGGAAGAACAAAGTGCTGATGATGTTGCAGTACTGGAGGACTATCTAGATTTCTCTTTAACAAAACCAGTAAACAAAATTGAAGAAGAAGTAGAGAGAGGAGGCTTACCAGATTGTCCAGATGATGATATTCTTCCAAGCTTTGGAGATGAAATCGGAGCAGGTAGGTTTCCTCCCATGGTTAAGGACTTCTTTTCCTTGCTTTCTAACTGTTAGAAATGGCTTCTCCTGGGGAAAACAGAAGAGTTTTTTTTGAAATTACAGAGAAATTTCTCAAGCCCTTAAATTAAAAGGAAAGGAAGGTTTTTCTTCTTTACGTAGCCCTAGAGGAAGTTTAGGTCACATATGAATTATCATGGGGAAAAGTGAGTTTTTATCTGGATTTTCACCTCTGTAGGAAAACATTTGATTGGCTACATATGTTGACTCTGTGCATAACATTTTATTCATTTCACTGGAAAAACAGAAATACACAATGCTAAGCTTGTATTTCCAGAAAGATAACCTTCAGTCCTTTGCACAGATCCTGCCTTTAGAAGGAAAAGCCTTTCCTCACATCAGTGCTGTGGATCTCAGCAAGTGGTTTAAATGGAGTAATGTTTCAGCTACAGTGCTTGAATGAGAATCATCCAGATACTTTCCAACTTCAAACAATCCAAATGGTGTATTTATGTTTGTCCTAGAAATACAGTAGGACAGGGGCTGCAGAGTTTACCAGTGAACCTAAAGACTTAGTGCACATCTGTCTTCTTGGCTCTAGCATGATAAAAGTGGGCTTATGTAGAATCTTGAAGTGCCAACGCAAGCATGAAGTCAGAGATTCACTGCAGTAGTACAAAATGCCCCAAACCTCTCCTTTTAATCTAACAGCTTGATGTCAGCAGACATGCTGACACAGAAACAGCTTGATTTCTAACCTCATGGAATTCAGTACAAGTCTTCTGTTACTAAGTCTCCCCAAATAGATCCTCATCTTTTTTTATAGTTTCTTGTTCCTGAAATAAAAAGAAATTGCTTTGGACTGCATAGGAAGCTTCATAGAATCATAGAATCCTAGGGGTTGGAAGGGACCTTGAAAGATCATCTAGTCCAACCCCCCCTGCCAGAGCAGGGTCACCTAGAGCACATCACACAGGAACGCATCCAGGTGGGTTTTGAATGTCTCCAGTGAAGGAGACTCCACAACCTCCCTGGGCAGCCTGTTCCAGGGCTCTGTCACTCTCACAATAAAAAAATTTCTTCGGATATTCATCTTGAACCTCCTATGCTCCAATTTGCACCCATTACTCCTTGTCCTGTCACTGGTCATCACTGAGAAAAGCCTAACTCGATCTCCCTGACACTCACCCCTTACATATTTGTAAACATTGATGAGGTCACCCCTCAGTCTCCTTTTCTCCAAGCTAAAGAGACCCAGCTCCCTTAGCCTTTCCTCATAAGGGAGATGTTCCACTCCCTTAATCATCTTTGTAGCTCTACTCTGGACTCTTTCAAGCAGTTAACACCAAATAAATTCAAGGTGGCTCAGGAAGTGATGGGTGTCTAGTGATTTGGTCTTGTGGACCAATGGCACATATTTGAGTACTGAGAATTATTTATGCAACTCATGATAAAATGAAATTAAAATACCCTGCATTTATTTTTTTTAATTTTTTTTTAAGATTTATAGTGACTATTTAGAACACTCTGAGTGCCTCCTCAACATGCTAAATACATTACTGCAGAGCACACTGCACACATTAGTGTTCACACAAGGAAGCAGATGTAGATACTAAATAGCCCCTGTTACAGGTTGGGCTGATCCCTTCATGGGAATCTCCTAGTAAGGGATTCCTTAGGCTCATGTGCCCATGCTGGGTTTCTTCGGCCCATGTGCTGATAAGGCTCCATTATCCTTTTCCTAAGCTTTCTGCACCTTCCTGAACTTAGGCTCTGTATCTTTATTTCATGATCACAGGTTATCACAGGGCAGCTGTTTTTCTGCCAACACAGTAGCTTACACTGTTTTTCTCAGGAGCAGTTTACATGGGTTATAACTCAACTCTGCAGTAAAAAGCAATGACAGAAGCACACAGATATTTAAAGGGCTGAAAAGTAAGCTCAATTTTTATCTAATGTACCCTTACACATATGAACAACATACCTGAATCATTTGTCTCACTTCTTGTTAATATTCAGGTTATCTCAGGAGTTAAAGGCTCCTGTCCTTACTTGCAGGATAGTCAAGTTGCTCAAATACACTTTACCATAACCTGAGACCATCCTCATAAATGATTCCTCTCCCCCTTATCAGCCTCATTAGGCAATTAATATTGACCAATTAGGAAGCTAATTGTTTAATTATCTTTACCTCGTGTGAGAATTCAAACTAATACACCTCCTAAGGCTCATCTGGTTCTGGTTGTGCTCTTGGATTTTCAACAAGGTTTACTACTAAGTGCTCTTAATGACACACAGCTGTCTAAGCCAGAAGAGAATTTGTCTGTGGACTAATATCTGAGTAAAAGAAGAAAGAAACAACCAGTTTTTGTGGGTAGTGGGATAGTCCTAGAGTGATCTGTCATGGAGCTCACATTGTTCAATATACAGAAAAATAATGTGGAAAAATGTAATGATAGCTGGTAAAGAAACCTGTATTTGAAATTATTATATTAGGATAGTTAAAAATGACACTGAAGTGTTGTAGAAGAATCTTACAGTATTGAGAAAGGTGGTAGAATGGAGGTTTATGTCCAGCACTAAAGAGTGCAGAGTAATGCTGATAGAAAAAACAATGTCAATTGTTTTGGTCAATTTATACACCTACGTCTGAGTTAGATTTGCTTTAGTTATTACTAATTAAGACATCTCCAAAAGCATAAACTTACTGCTTGTTCACAGTGGAAAAGGCAAACTGTTAAAAATCCTTCAGAAGACAATGGGAAAAAGAAAAAGTACTGTTATCATGCAACAGTGAAATTTTTCTACCCTGTCTTGTGTATAAGACACAGTTCTGCACAGTCCATCTCAAAACCAGGATGTAGAACCAGGCAAGATGCAGGAAAGAGTCTATAGCTGCAATTAGAAGTGTGGAACAATGTGAATTTCAATTTTCAATTTGAAAACAAAACAACTGAGGTCAATGTGAAATAGTCTGCAATGAAAACAGCAATGGGAAAAGGAAAGGTGTATCTTTGTAATGCAAACACTAGTAAATGCCACATCAAATTTGATTTAAAGCAAGCTATACAAAGCATTTTTCTTTCACATAATGCATAAATAAATTAGCCAACTCATTCCTACAGGATATTGTGAATGCCAAACTACAATATATTTTATGAAGAAAATCAAACAACTATATCGTATGGAAGTACATGAAAGAGCGTTGAACTTGATGGCTTCAATATAATATCCATCTCAGGAGAGCCACTAGTTACCAGAAGCTCACACAGTTGTAACAGGAGGAAAGAAAGTCAGTCTGTATCTTATTTTTTGGTGGTGTTTTCCTAATTCCTATTTATGATTTGCCTCTGCAGAGTTATAACTTAAGCTGCAGTTGCCAATTGATAAGGGGAGAATTCCTGTGACAGCAAATGAACACGTGCTCATCCACCCTTTCATGTTCAGCTCCACATACTCCTCCACTTTATTCTTTTCCTCTTGTACCAACTGTGAATAGTGGTTATTTCTGTATTGCTCATCTTGATCCTCATATTGTTTCCATGCTTTGTGCCAGTGGAATTTCACACAGGGAGTTCCTTGTGAATGATCTGGGGAAATGCTGGGGAATAGGGAGTAAAAGCACATACTGTTCACACACAGCTTCTTTTGCCATGACAGTGGTATGTTTCCTAGCTGTCCAAGAGCAAGCAAGTACTTCATTTGGGAAAAAAAAAAAACTTCTGATGAAATGGATTGAATTTTAAACTATTAATTGAAAAATATTAGCAGTGTAGTTTAAAAAAGCATAGACTACTGTGTGGGAGGGGTATTTGCCTGTTAGGAGACTTTTTTAGTCTGCATTTAATTCCTTTTTCTGAGCAGCTTAAAACTACTTTGGGTGTAACTACAGGGATTGCAGTTTCAGATTGGTTGCAATGTAGACATACCCTACAATATAGGGGTTTTTACTTCAGTCTCAGCTGCAATGTATAGCATAGTATGACAAGTTTCCAATGAGTTTTAATTTTGAGAAATATGAGACTTCCGCATTTTAAAGATGTAGAGTTCTGTCATTAAAAGGAAAATTCTATACAAAGCTTTGCCTAAGAATGAGAAACTTGCTACATTTATATAGTGATCTGAGGATTTATTTCTCTTTAATAATTACAATGTAGTGTGCTTTTACAAACAAGGAGATGAAAATGAGTTCTTCTATTGGTGTTGCTTCTTTTCTGCATTGAATAATGAGTACTTGTGGATATTCAATGTCAATTTTATATTCACAGAAGTTCAAGTCAGGCTTCTTAAGGCAAAGTCACGTGTTGTGCAGGAAGAGCTGGATCGTGTAGTGTGTGAATGCAGGAAGATGGTAAGAGCTGAGTTTTCTTATCTGTAGAAATGGAGTATGTTCCCCTTTAAGAAATAATCACAACAGATTTCCTTTTTAAGTATTAAGAGGTAAGGTTCTATTTTAAAAAATTTCCTAAGAATTTAGAGTCAAGGGTAATGATTTCTGTACAAATATGATCTTGGGCTAAATGCTTGTGAATATACTTAATGAAAAATAATCTGAAGCAGGAAAGAACACTGGGAATGAAGACATGGCCCAGCTGCAGGGACCCTGTGGTGGTGTAGTTTCCCAGCCATCACTGCTGGGCCAGGAAGGAGACCATTACCAGAGTCTGAGGAGGAGGAAGCAATTGCAGTCAATTACAGCTTTCAGTGTGCAGAGAGAAGATGAGTGATACCCAGAGCTGGGTGACAGGAGGAGGGAGATGTTTAGGACAGAATGAGAAATAAAAAAGCTTGAGAAATTTAGTTAGGTGCTTTGGGTGTCCCTGAAAAAAGGTGTAGAAGCAACTGATCTGTAATCCACTGTAGGTTGACTATTGTAATCAAAACAGAAATGAGGCTTTCTCCATTCTCAAGATTACATTTGATACAGAGGACTGTATTTGGAATTACATGTTTGGGCAGATCAGACTGAAGTTAAGGCAGTGTGAAGTTACACATGTTGTACTGTTAAGAGTGTACTACAAGTGAGTTTTATGATCTGCACTGTCTGGCAATGTTTTAAAGTGAGGTTCAAACATCTCTTGAACTGTAAAACCTTAAATAGTTTGTGTCTGTCTACCAGAGGGATCACCTCTTTTATATGCATTTGTAGTCAAGCAAGGTTTTTGAACTAACTTTCCACTTTACACAATTATTCTTTGTTGTGGTCTCTTCAGAATGGGTTTTCTGCCTATTCCCCAGGCCCAAATGTGATGATGACATGTAGAACATCTGGCAAACCACCTCTGTGTTTTCTCTCAAGCTTTCAATTTAGAGTTATAAGTTTTTTGAGATAGGTATCAGGAGGAAATCCTAAGAAGGAATTAAGTTTTGATATATCTCTACTTTATATTTTATTTCAGTTCTATCAATACATTTGCTTCTGCCTTTCAATACTTTTAATGCTGTGATCAGAAAATGTTGTTACATTAGATTTTAAAGACATTTTCACTTTCAAATCAAATATAATTTTATCAGTAGATATTGAACTTCATCAGTCTATGCCAAAACCACTACAGAATTCAGTTCCTATAGCAAGTGACAGAGGACAACCTTATGCCTACTCTTGTCTTGCTCCCATGGCACTCTGTATGTAAATGGATCGTTTTAGGCACTGGTTTCTCTGGTGTTAAGTCTATTGCATTCAGAAGGTCATAAAAATCATATTGGCAAAGCCTTGGGATAGATTTTGGGTTTTGTTCCAATTCACAGTCCAGTTAATATAAGGAAGCAGTAAATCTGTCTTAAATATAAGCGTGAGTTCCCGAGGTGTGTGTGGTCATATGCAAGTTAGTCAGCTCATCTATTTCCCAGGAGAGAAGCACGTCTTCCTGGGGCTGAGAAGACAGGAGAGAAATACTTGTTTTCATAGAAGCTCCATTTCTCCGTGTGCCTTGATTTCTTTTTCTTGAAGAAATGAAGGGCATAATGTATCTCTGGATAATCTGCATTAGTATTCACTTAAAAAGTTTAAAAGGTTATAAAAGAAAAATGCCTTGAAATGATAATGCTTGCTGTGGGATGTCATTGCCAGTAGGTCATGAAGCTAATAGAGGATTCACTTGATGTTAAGAGAATCTTGAATTTGAATATTTGATGTATCCTGGATCATTAGCTTGCTTTTAAGTCAAAACCAGATAATCTCCTAAAACATAATGGATTTTAGTCTCTTCTTTTTCACAGAATTTTTCCTAATGTGTGCATTTAGCTATTCTCACAAAGATGTCATAAAATATCCATGTGCCACTGTTACTCATATTATTCTGTAACATTTTGATAATTCTCAAAACCTTTGAACTCTGAGAAATCAAATGTTTTACATAGTGTTACAAGACAGGTCCAAGTAAAAGACTGCATAAAATTAAATGAGAAAAGTGTTAATGTTTTTTTGAAGAATTGTCCTGGTAAATTGATGTTTTGTTTCTTTAGCTTGTTTTAGTTGTTTCCTTTCTAAAAATTGTTGTGAAATCCATCATGAAGGATTGAAACTTTTCTTGCAATAATTTAGTTGATTTTTTTTTGCTAATTACTGTCAAACAGGATGATGAAAATCAGAAGTTGAAATCTCAGCTTAAAGATGCTGAACAAGAAAACGCCAGACTGCAACGAACCATCAGTGTGCAACATTCTCAGCTTGAGAAGTACAAAATGTTGTCACAAGAAGCAAGCAAAAGATGTGAAGGGTTACAGCAAGAGGTCATTGCACTAGAAAAGGTATTGCACAGATTTCTATAATTTATCTCATGAAAGGGAAAAATACCCCAAATGAAATCACGCTCTTTGCACTAGTTTGATAGATTCATATCCAATGATCCCATTAGCGTGATCCCATAATCTCTGGTAACATTTTCAGAAATTGTAATTTTAAATGGTCTAATGACTTTTTTTAAAGGAAGAAATAATGTATTTTGCTAATTACATTTCTTCTACTATCATATATTACTTTATTTTAAAATTAAATTCTTGTGTTGAAGACCTGCAAGAAACAAAACAACCAGAAACTGCTATCAAATTCACAAAGGAATATTGGAAAAAGGCAGGCAAATTTTGTTTTTCTGCTTTTAATTATAATTGTCATGAATTACTTCTGGTAATAAGAGTTTTTGTGGTATACTGTTGAACCTAGTGAACATTGAAGAAAAAACCCAAAACAACTGCAGCTTGAATTACTATCTTCTGCAGGTATAGGAAAAGATGTGTCTTTGTTCTTGAAAATGGACTGTTTGAAAACCAGCCTCTCCAATCTGGATCAATCAAAAAACAACCTGGCTCCTGCTGCAGGCCACAGAGGCAAAACTGTACTTGTGCTTGCTTGTAGCAGATGGCCTGCATGCACAGCTTTGTTTGTTTGGACCTTCATCTAAGAGCAGCATGTTTTTCTTTAATTACTCAGAGCTAGAGAGGTTGATTTCAAAATCATGCAACAGATATGGCATTGTCTAGTACACCTAATACAACCAGGAGAACATTTCACCTAAAAATTTGGAGAAAACAGAGAGCAACTCAGCCTAAAAAAGTCTCATCATAGTTCCACTAAGACATCCTTTTCATCTGCTCAGGCATGCTTTCATCTTAACATTATGTAGCTCTGGAATTTTAAAAAGAAAATGTTCTAAGTTTCTGTGTAGATACTTGGAAGTTTTAGGTTCTCTTAAGTAGGCACCCTGATTGTTGATTCTCTTAGGAAATGTATTCAGCAGTAGTACCCATACTGCAGCTCAGCTCACACTAAATAGAACCAAGGGGCTTTCAAAGTCGATTAGTCCATTTACCTAAACCCAGACAGGACAGATTATATCCAAACCATCCTGGACAGAAGTTTAACCTGTACTTAGCGCCTTCTGTAATGTCAGTTTCTACAATTTCCTCAGACAGTCTGTGCAGGCTCTTGTACAGTTTATCCCAGTGTTTAGATGATGCCTGTTGCAATGAAAAGTTTATTCACTTCTGCTGTACAGCAACCATATCCAAAATGTGGTTGCTTTCCTCACTTCTCTTTGGCCTGGTTCTATCACCCTCAGTTGCTTCAATTGTTCTCAGTTATGTTTTCTAGAATATCTCAAGGTTACTGATCAGACATGATAATGACAAATAGTGGCAATTCTTTAAAATACTGAGAAGGCAAAAAAGGCAGGTACATGTAATGAATGGTTCTCTGCTAATTCAGAAGTTATTTAACATACTTTTCTGATGTAAAAAATATCACACTGCCAAAACCAGGCACTTAAAAATCAATTTGCCATTAACACTGAAATCTCCCATGAACATAGCAATCTGAAAACTGTTTTATTGTTTAGGTATGAAGCATTATTCCACATGATTTAACTGATGTATTTGGACATTAGTTCTACTCATATGTTTAAAAACAATTTCCTGTAAACATGGGCCTGAACTCTTCTTGCTGTGCCACTAAACTGTCAAGACTCCTACTTTGATTGTAGCAGTTTTCTGTATAGTTGAGACAGCATAAATGTAACCTCTGCCTTTGGGGCTTTTATTTGTTGTGATTTCTGTTGCAACATAAATAATAGAAGGCTTAAGTTGTGATACATGCTCTCCAAAGCTTCTTTAGATTTTCAATATTTCATTGATCCCCTAGCTACTTTTTAAAAATGTGCCTAGGGAAATATTGTCACCTAGTTTTCAGTTTACCTGAAAAATGGTAATGAGTTTGTTATTTTTAAATTTAATTCCTTTGATGTTTGGTGTCTGTGAACATTTCTGCTGGAACATCTGCAGCTGAATTCTGATGCTCCCCAAAATGTCTATCCTCTTCTTTCCTGCATCCCTTTTTTTTTTCATCTACTTGATGGAATAAATTGTATAATCTCTCCTTGCTTTTTTCCCCACCTGTCTACAAGAACATTCCTTCCTCTGTGTTCTCTCTCACTTGTTAATTCAGTGTAGCTATAAGGTTGGATAAAGGTTAAGGAAATATCAAAGTTGTGCTCTTATTCCTTTTAAGGCTTTATGCAGAGATTTTATATTTTGCCTTGAAGAAGGGCAAACATTGTCTTTCAGATATTTTAGGGGGCCAACAAGTGTTGCTGAGCTGTCTGAAGGTAGCAGGCCTGTGTATGTTGCTACTGGGAGGAAAGAATCCCTGCTGGGAGGGCTACTCATAGCTCTCTGGTGTCACAGTCCCTACTGATACTCAAGTGCCTCAGCTGTGCCAGAACAATGGAGAAAATCCAGAGATTGAAAGGGAAATGCAGTTTTAGAACAAAGTAGGTTTTTTCCCCCCCTCTTAGAGAAACATCATATGAGAAAATTAATCTAGCTTTTACTTTAAGTATTGAAAACTTGGCAGAAACCTTGCCTACTTACAAAATAAAATACTTCTCTTAAGCATTTTTAAGGTTAAAAACTTGGAGTCAAATGGATCTGACAATATACCCTCACTGGATGACTTGCAAAAAAACCCACCTCCTTGATGTTATGTATGACAGTAAATGTCAAATAAACAAAAATAATTATTAGAAATCTTCCACTAATTATATGATTAGCTGATATGTACTTTGCATTGCATGCAGGCTGGTTTTTTTGGTCATTAAGTGCATGAAGGGCTGTATTCCAAAGCTTTTCATATTAATGGAGTAAAAAATACAGAGTCTGAAAGATTTAGTTGCCCTATTCACAGCTCCATCATCTTGATACAAGACAAAGAGGTTATTTTCTTTGGAAAAGAGGGGATCGGTCTCCAGCAAAGGAATTGGCATTCCCAGGTGGTGTGGGGGCTCTGCTGCCCGACTACTTTCACCCACCTTGTTTAATCCATCAGATTGACAGGTTAGCAATGAAATTAAAATATTGAAGCAACATCTGATTTTGTGAACTCTTGGAGGAGGCACAACTGACCAATAGAATTTTGGAGGATTAGTGAAATTCATCTTACTCTCCTGTTTTCTTCATGCATTTTGGAGAAGATTCAAAGCTTCCTGGAAATACCGGTTCCAGTCATAACTTTCTAGTAAAGACTTTGCTGCACACACTTGTCAATTAGTTGGTGTTTCTTGGCTAAGTGATGTGGAAATCAACAGTAAACACCACAAGAGCTGGTGTGGAATTGAGAAAATAGAGCAGTTACTCAGAAACAAAGCAGTCTGAGGGTGAAAGGTTAACAACAAGCCCCCTCTCTCTTCTGATTTGATTAAAAGAATGTCTCTGTGCTCATTACTAAAAATTTGATAATTTTTTTTTAAAGTCTATTTCTTTTTCACAAGCGACAAGATGTGCTCTTTCTGCCAGAACTGTTTATTTCTTTACTTTGTCTTTTATCTATATTCCCTGATCTTTAATCTCATTATTCTGTTCCTCATCTTGATCTCTTTTTCTCATTTCCCCACATACAGCACTATGAAATACTATAATCAGAGATAAGAGGGAGCTGTTTTGATTGTTGCCATAAACTCTTGATGAACTATTTTCTGCTAGATGATATAGTTACAACCCTCAGCCTATCTCCAGTAGGTTGTTTTAAATTTTTGTTGGTAATTGCATGTAGTAATATCTGCGGAAAAGAGGTAAAAGGAACAAGTGGGAAGCAGCAGCTGGGAATACTAGCCATCCTTCCAAAATCTGCCAGGTTGGACATGCTGACATTTTTTTCCTCTTTTTCTGACTGAGCATACAAGGGTTTTTCAGTCAATCCTGTGGTCTGACATGATCAGCTCCATAATTATTCTAAGAGAAGTTGAAAACAAAGATGAGAATGTTCCCTTTTCAAGATTTCAAAGGAGAAGGGGATGTTCTAATGGTGGAATTAATAGGGATTGAGACAAGCCAGAGAAGTCTACAGACTCAAGTTTCCAAGGGTGAGCTTTGCTGAAAATGTGTGGTCTGTGGGATCAATTAAAATACCATTATTTTTGTCCTTTCCTTCTTAAATAGGAACTAGAGCATCTCAAGCGGGTACAAAAACAGGCCTCGGCTGGGCAGAGCGCGACGGAAGTTCGCTTAAACAGAGCCCTGGAAGAAGCAGAAAGGTACAAAGTGGAGCTGAATAAACTGAAGCAAAGTAACAAGGTACAGTTAAAACCAGTTCCAATCTGCAGTCCCTCAGTCACGCTAGAACAAGATAAAAGGCTTGATCAGGTTTAGTTCCTACCTATCGTGTCTCATAGAGGCAGTCCCAAAAATTACCTTAGAGCAGGTCACCAAAGGGCTTGCTAAGTTACCTCAGACAGCACTACTGCAACCTGTGTGGGAGGAGGAAACGTACAGAATGAAGCTGCAGCCTTTTGAATTTCCCCATTTGTGAGAAAATTACATGCGTTTAGAAAAAGGGAGAGGTACACACACCCCCCTAACACACACACAGGCAAACCACAGCTGTTATCCTTGAGTTTTTTGTTTCTCGTTTTATGTTTTGACACAGAAATATTTTGATTACTCCCATTTCTCCCCAGAAATGTTATATGGGGCTCCTGTTTGTAATTTTGTTACGTAATGCCATGTTAAAGCACCACTCCCATGAATAATGCATTTCTCCTGTTCTCTCCATGGCAGGATGTAGCTAACCAAGAACTCCAAATGATCGAAGAATTAAAAGCAGAAAACAAGAAACTGCAGAAACAAAAAGGCGAGCTAATAACTGGTTTCAAAAAGCAGTTAAAGTTAATTGATATTTTAAAGAGACAAAAGGTAAGGACAAGAGTACTGTCACAGTTCAGTTAACAACCTCTAGCTAATGTGTCTGCTGTCTGGTAACTCTGTAAACTAGAGCCCTGAGACTGGAACCATTCAGTGCAAGGGAGGAGCAGTTTGATGGTGACTAGTGCACACTGCAAACGTTTGCTGTATAGCAAAGGCTGATCTTTTGAGTTGACTCCCCGTGGAACTTCAGACATACCATCAACATCATACCAAACATCACCATGAGGGATTACTACTGACAGGCTTTAGGACCAGAAGTATCTATTTGTTCAGGAACAAATACTGTTCAGGTAATTGCAGTGACTCCCTTTGGTTCTGTGTCAGTAGAATCCATTTTAGCACATGGCAGATTTTTAAGGTTGTTTCCACACAGTGAACTGCTTGTTGCATCAGCAGCTGTAGCAGGGTGACTGCTCAGGAGGAAGCCACCACCTTTCAGACCTACTATCTTCCTAGGTTGTCCAAGAGTGGCCTTCTCTATTGTTTCTTCACGTTTATATTCTGTGGTGTTCTACACGTGTACAGTTCTGTCCAGGTGCAGATCACCTCGTGTGTGAGACAAAAAAAGACCAAAAAAAAGAGACCACTTATTCTAGGTGTGAATTTACTAGATTGAAGGAGGGGAATTGCTCACCATCCTTTTGTAATTAATGGAATATTATCCATACTTTGAATCACATGCACTGTAGTGACATCTGCATGGGTGTCCCCATCCATGCTGCACTTGCAGCTGGTCCTGTTTTGAAAGTCTTTTGATTCTACATTCATTTCATATGTCTCTCCATTGCTTTCCCTCAGGGCATGAAGGGCAGGACAGGGACTACTGCCTTTCAGTTTCTTTAGTAGCTGAAGCTGAAATGGGCAGTATGATATTTCTCAGCATCTATTTTCAGCAAAGACCTGCCGAGTGAGCTTTGATGGTAGAAATTTGAAGAATCTGTGAGTTCACATGAAAGCAAATTAAAGTGAAAGGAGTGTATACTAAGAGCCCAAGTGGAGCAATTTTCAGCTTACAGCTCTATCACACCTTCCACTTACCAAAGCCTTGGGATACTAATTGGTATTAGTTTTCCTTCCAAGGCTGCACAAGACACACCCAGAGCTGGGGGCTTCACCCTTGTCTGGACAGGACCTTAACATCCTGGAGGGGTTCACCCCTCATTGCTCTGCTGAGTTTAATGGGTCCTCCATCATTTCAGGATGGAGGGAAGGTGCTTCTCTTTGTGCTCTCAAACCAAAGCTGTTAACAAAGCTAAAGCAAGTGTGGTGGTGACTTGTTGAGCAGGAACACCTTAGAAGGGCCAACCTTTGAGATAAGAACACAGAGCAATTGATTTACACTTCCAGTGCTGCAGTGATCACCAGACGTTTTGTAAACACTCTGGAAACTGTTGAGCCCCCATAGAGGAAGAACAGCTCTGCATGAAGTGGGAACTTCATGTAACAGAATACACATACTTACCCTAAGAACTGGGAATTGTGATATGGAAATACCTCTCCAGCACAGGACAAAGGCATATAGGAATTGGAATAAGAGGAACCGGGGCTGCTCCTGCATTTCCAGGGGGAAATAATTTTTCCAGCAGTAACAGGATGCAGGAGAGATCTTGGGGATTCATCTAACAGAAGTAGCTTAGATTTTGGCTGGCCTTTCTAGCTTTTCCAAGCTTATTTGGATAACGAAAAAAATTCAGCATTGACTTAAAATGTACTCTGTGCATGAGGTAGTTCATTGGCCTCTGGAACATTAATCCACTGAGAGCACTGCCACAGTGGATCATGGATGTATGTGTGACACATGGCAAAACAGCTACCAGGGATCAGCTCCAGGAATTTCTTCTTAAGGGGCAGTAGAAGCACTCTTTGTTTGGTGCTGATTGCTAATATTTAATGGTGTTACATTCATTTGTAAAAATCCTCACGTAAAGCTAAGACAGGCATATTAGAGGCACCAGCACAATGAGGCTTTGTGAGGGCTGGGATTGTAAAAGCTTTAAACTGTATATTGATCAGTTCTTTAGAGGCCCCAGGAGCTGTCAAATTTTCAGTAATTTCCATGCCTCTTAAAACTAAGATATTTTTAAAGCAATGCAAGGAACTAAGAAAAGCTACTGGTCCTGTTTTACTGCAGTGGCAGTTGCAATGTTCAGCATAAAATTTATCACATTATCCCCACACTATAAATTTTTGCAGAAAAATATGACAGGACACAAGAGAAGGTTAGACTTGAAGCCCCTTTCAGCTAGCCCAGTTTACAGGATTTTGCATTGGTCATTTACACTATTTTACCTTCTGCTCCTCAGGTGTTTTTTTTTTTTTTCTTTTTTTCTCCCCTTTAAGATGCACATTGAAGCTGCCAAGATTCTTTCTTTTACTGAAGAGGAATTCATGAAAGCCCTTGAGTGGGGAAACAATTGATTCCATCAAAGAAACAACTTCTGTTTGAAATACAAGTCAGATGGTACATTATTTTAGCACCGTATATGAATGCCTGTTAATAATAAAAGTTAACAACTATATATCCCAGTGAATTGATTTTGCTTATGTTTAAATTGTTTAACTTTTATAAGCCTGGCAACTCGTGGTGTATTATCATATGAAAGACAAATTCTGCTCAAGTTTCAGGCCATACTGTCCATTCTGTAATGACTGGAGAAGCACAGACCATGCAAGGGATATTCCAACAAAAGAACTTAATTACCTGTTTGCTCTGTTTTAGCATATCAAACTATACCTCATCTAAGGCAATATTCAGTCCAAAAAAAGTCATGTTTTAGTCTCAGGGAATTCCTGCTTGCAACAAAAATAAATTAACCAGTCATCCAGTTGAGAAGAAAATGTCATGTCCTTTTTCAATACACGTGGTTGGAAAATTGGCCTTGTCTGTTCCCTGTAACAGATCTGCCCCCAAAGCACATTGGTCTGGCATCTAATTTAAGCACCAGCAGCTCTTTTATAGAAATGATCTTGACTTGGTTTAGCTTTTCCATCTTACACCCTTGGCTGGCAAAAAACCATACGTGAGACTTGCCCCTCACTATCCAGGTGGATCCCACAATCTGCTACAGTTGTGTTTAAAACTGCTGCTTCAGTCAAGATGCAAATATTAAATCTTTCCCCAGCCATCAGCTGCTGCTTCAGGACAGTCAGGAGCAATGGCTCCATATTCACATATGGTTTACAAGCACCACATCCGTAATGATTTCATTACGTCATTGTTATAAAAAGGAACTAGATAAAAGTTATAGTGTAGTTGAGCTGAGCACATCACGTGTACAATGATGACCAGGAAAAATGAAGGCCTGTGCTGTGTGCGTGAACCTCAGTCAGACCCCAGCTGGTTCAATGGACTCCTCCCTCAGAGTAACTGAGCAGGAACATGGCACATCAATAGCAAGTTCAGGCACCAAAACAAAGGTATAAACTGTGATTCTGACCTTGAAGAGGAAAAGTGCCTCTGCTTACACCTCACCAGCAAAGCAACATGAACAGCAAAGTGAAAAATGTAACTTGGATCTACCTCCTCATACATTGAGATTAGTGTTTTAATGGTGTAATTCCAGTGCAGAGACATCTTTAAATTTCAACCAGAAAGAGTG